CAACCCTTCACGTGGCAATTGAGTACGAAGATCACGAAACGCCTGTGTGCTGTCAGTGCTACTTGCCCTCCAGGATGGGGACCGCGTGATCCCCACTGTACCTGGTTGCAGACACTGCAAGATATGGCTGCCAACCGATGTCGGTGGCGTTCTTCTTGGCAATTTCTATCCAGATTGCACCTCGGAATGCTTGTAGTAAGCTAGCACCAAGTCCTTTCCTCGTCCACCTTTATTCTTTTCTTTACAATAAGACTTTCAAAAAACCATAGTTGTACGTAAGTGAAGCATCGGTGTTGAACAATGATGTCATGTTATCGAGGCCCGAAGGCGTCAGTAAAACGGCCAGTGAAGCGAGAAGTGAAAAAGGAGGTCAGTAACTGGCAAAAAAAGACAGCAAAGATGAGCTGGCCTCCTGCGACACATCCTTAGGGACAGTGTATACGTTTGAACATCAGAGGAAGAAGTACGAACTGTAACGTGAGAAGGCACCAGCACCAGGCGGTCTCTATCTCTGGTGACCTACCTAACAAAACGCTTTGGTGCGGTATGGAGTGAAGAAAAAGTGTCTGTAAAATGGAGCATACCTACAGTTATTCCTGTCTTCAAAAAGGGTACACAGACGCTGTGTAAAACCACCGTGGCTTTAGACTAGTAGCTATGGCATCGCAAGTGCGCTCTGGCCTCATCTTTCGAAAGTTGAATGAACACAGGAGAGACAGATCCGTGGAAACCAAGCTGGGTTCAGTCCGGCAAGAGGATGCATTGTTCATATTTCACTCCGGCAAATTACAGAACAGCGACATTGTTTCTGTCGCTAAACAGTAGTTGCCTTTCTTGACGACAGATCCGTACCAAGCTGGGTTCAGTCCGGCAAGAGGATGCATTGTTCATATTTCACTCCGGCAAATTACAGAACAGCGACATTGTTTCTGTCGCTAAACAGTAGTTGCCTTTCTTGACGTGAACGCTGCCTCTGACCTTGTGAACCATCAGATACAATATGGTAGAATACACAAGGCAAAGGTGTCGCACAAATTATTGATCCGATGTATGCCAACTCTGCGGACGCGTGGTCTACGAACAGCTCTCGCCTGAATTCACTTCATCAAGCGGTATCATCCTTCACCTCTCCCCTTCAACTTCGTCGATGCGATTATGGAAGACCCACTACCAGCTTCTAATGCGTGTGGGATCGAGGTCGTCAAAAGCATTCGCTCCAATATGGAGTATGCATACGGCATAGCCCTTCTTGAATCTGACGTCGTAATGCAAATATTAAATAACCCAAATAATTCTGCCTCACGGTTTGGCATGATCGAGGTGTAAAGTACTCCTGCAAGACTGAAGTAGCACTTCGTCGAATTATGGAAGACCCACTACCAGCTTCTAATGCGTGTGGGATCGAGGTCGTCAAAAGCATTCGCTCCAATATGGAGTATGCATACGGCATAGCCCTTCTTGAATCTGACGTCGTAATGCAAATATTAAATAACCCAAATAATTCTGCCTCACGGTTTGGCATGATCGAGGTGTAAAGTACTCCTGCAAGACTGAAGTAGCTTGAACCATGATTTAATGCTTGCGGAGGAGTCGATTGGGACAGTAGACTCATTTGTTTACCTTGGTACCCGTAACATTCGTGAAAGATGATATTTCCATCTGGACTGGAGACGCCAGAGCAACTAAAGTGAACCTGCATCACCTGTGGCACAGGTGTGACATCAGCCTATCTGTCAAGAGTTTACAACGCGGCCATTCACTTCATATTATCATAAGGGTCACTGCTAAGGACGTCAAAAGATTCAGGGTTTGACCATCGCTACCTGTGTGGTATTTTCCTAGTCGTGGAAACTCTGGATCAGTAATACTGGATTGCGGTGAATGGCTTTTGGAAGAGATAGCTCGCCCACGATAAATGAACTGATCGCACTCCATAGGTTGCACTGGCTTGTTCACGTGCTCCGTATGCCAGTAGACTAAATTCCTCGAAAGGCTATCTTCGCACGACTACGGGAAAGGTAGAATGATCCAGCGATGGTCAAAAAATGGTTTGGGAGCGAAGTAAGCACGCCATTACCAGCAAACTCAGTTGCGTTGGTCATTGTCGTCTCCCATGATGAGGACCCCGGGACGAGCCGCATCAATGGTTGGAGACACTGTCAGACGACCGAGTCGTACCCTCATTGTGCTTCTGCATCCGAGGGATTGCCTTCAATGCATAGCTCCCCTCATAATCTCTCCAATGAGAAGTCTACCGGCAACTTTTCCATCACGCATCATTGTATCAGCTGTCGCCTCCAATGCGCAGCTACATATCCCATCTCCCTGAATCGGTGAACGGCAAGTAAACAGGTCTCACCTAATAATGATGGTGAGACAGAAAGTCTGTTGGTCAGGGTTATCTAAGAATTCTGTGAAAACTGACATCGAACGAGGGCAAGACTCCAGAAGGTGTACTCCACAGAGGTGACTATTTACATGGATACACTCAAACGAAGGCTCAACTGTGGAGCTGAGATCTGCACCAACCTAGGTGCAAGCAGCTGCAGTAGTTCAAGAATCATGGCCGATATCGTCTAGACAGAAGCGGTACAGGCTAACTCGATGTACCCCGATGTTTCTGGGTTGCGAACGTGTTACGGTTCGGTCACGCAGCGAGCAAACAATATGATAATGCGGATTGTGGCAATACTCTATCCCCAGCTATGTTGCTTGATACAGACTCCTAGCACGGCGAATAGTAAGAAGACGAGAACCTCGGACACAAACTTTAATAATCCAACAACACACGATCAACAGGCGATGCCCGGAGCTTCCGAACCCAAGTCAGTGGAAAGAATAATGGTATCCTGTACGTGGTCGGATTTAAATTTCCTTGGAGTATCAAT